GTTATGGTTTTGGTTATTGGAAGAAAACAAGCACAAACATTGTACTTGCAAAGTCAAAGGAAATTGTCTTGATACCTATTGTCTTTTTGTACTGTAAAGGCGTTATAAAAACCAACACTGTTTCTTTATGTAGTAAATATATAAATTTAACATTTGCTTATYTGTAAACTCTAACAGTCACACATGTTTTAACAGCTCACTGGACACACTCACATAAGCATGAAGATGTCTTACGCAGTTGGTAAATCCAAAATATCTTCCTCATCATAGCATTTTATTTTTTTATTTCAATATTTATAACATGGTAATTTAGTTGTTTTTTTTTTTTAATCATTTATAACATTTTTAYCAGTGTTGACTTCATGGTGCTTCATGAATTAGCATCGCAAGAAAATCCTTCGCTTCCATCATGTATCAATTAAAGACTTAGTCATGAAAAATGTAAGCGCATGTTATGCAGTGTTGCGTAACTCAAAAGATATAATGTTTTATATGTGAATGTGAAGGAAGACGGTGCACTATACTGTGAAATTATAATGAATTAGATACTGTACTTTTAACATCCTTTCTTGTGCCTTTTTAAGATTAATTCCAGTGTTAAATTTGAGCTACTCTACYTTTCCTGCTGTCTGTACATTCACTGGAAATAATTCTCCAAATTGAAATCCAGCCTGTCTAAGGCGTATCATTTAGGCTGATTAAATACCCTGGTTTGCTAAACATKCTGGATCTATTATTCTGAATTGATATAATTGGATATCCTTTCATCTGCATTTTAAAATTATATTTAATGACCTACAACACAGTGCCCTTTCCGAGATGTGGAATCATCCATCAATGRATTAATTTTCTTTACTCAGTTCTTCTTTCCATGTCACTCACTCAAAGCTGGTGTCCATGTCCAGCAGTCAGWGTGTGAGAGGCGGGGGACATCACAATGACACATAGAGACAAACAAGACAAACACCCATCCACACTCACTTAACATGCATGTTTTTCTCTGTGGGAGAAAACCGAAGGACCCGGTGAAACCCCACACATGCACAGGGATGTTATCATTACTCCAAAATTAATTTACAACTGAACACAGATTCACTCACTGCCAACTAAGATGTTTCAACCCARTTTTTATTTGAACACTTATTCCTTTTCCTTTACATTTTTGGTTCACTTTATTTCCCACTGAGGTACAGACTGATACATTCCTCATCTGAGCAGCAGTTAATCTCTATGTTCTTCACATTTTTACTCAATGTTCCTCTAATTGCTTCTTATGGAGCAATATTTTTTTCTCAAATAAACAGCAGTAGATTTTATATTTGATGATGTTTAAAAAATGCTGAATGACAGCAAAGAACAATCTCTGATACAGCTTATTGTTACTGTGGGTTCTGAGAGAAACCTTTAGCAAATGCGCTATTCTTGTACTCAATTGTGTTGTAACTATTGTAAATTTCTATTTCCAAATTGTTGATACTCTTGCTGTAAACGTCTGCTTTTCTTACGTGTCCACATGTGAACCAAAGGTTCTTTCACTTTCTGTTTTTCAGTGCTCTCATCATATCGTACAGTAAATAGTGTGCAGTTTACTCTAGTGATATTGACACAGTCTTTTGTTCTTGGAGAAAAATAAACTTACAGAAAGTCAGACTATATATAACGTAATGTCTTGCAGTGTGGTTTTTATTTTATTTTAGTTTATTTGAACAGAGATGGTATTAACAAAAACTACAAAGTGACAGTAACCACGAAGAGATGGTATTAACAAAAACTACAAAGTGACAGTAACCACGAAGAGATGGTATTAACAAAAACTACAAAGTGACAGTAACCAGGAAGAGATGGTATTACCAAAAACTACAAAGTGACAGTAACCAGGAAGAGATGGTATTACCAAAAACTACAAAGTGACAGTAACCA